AAATGTTCAGGTGTCCCAAGAAGAGGCCGCCACCTCTGAGCACCTTTGTTCCTCTGGACAGTGTGCACTTGCCTGTACCTCACTGTGAATCCCCTGCAACGGGCTTGAAATAGGAAATACACGTAGATTAAGGCTGCAGTGAGCAGCAAAAGCTTTCGTAGCTTGATAACTATCAGACACGAATTCACTGGTGGTGCTGTTTGAATGGCTCAGGCTGTACCCCAGCAGCAGCTTACTTGTCTCAGTTCTCCACACAAGCGTCAAGCTCTCTAGAACTAACTTAAGTCCCAGAGTCCTGTGTCTCATGCTCTGGTGAAACAGTAGAGGCTCTGAAACCTGAAAAAAAGTACTCTTGGTATTACTAGCAACAATATTATTATAATAATTAATAGCAACAATATTGCTGAAATCAGAAATGCCCCAGGACAAAAGGCAGGGACAGGTTTCTTGACAAAAGCAGCTGGGCAAACTGCTTTATTTTTCTAAGAACTGGTGCAGAAGTGAAAAACCTAAACATGAAAAACAATTGTAAATGATTCAGAGGAATGTGCCCTCCTCTTTTAACAGGTTTTTGGGTTAGCAGTAAGTTCCTTTAAAAATCCAGCCTCTTTACTGTGAACGAGAATATCCACTGTTGCATTTGATGAGGTGTAAGCCAATATAAATCCATTATTCTTGTCTGTTGTCTCATGGACACTTTTCTCCTAAGTTGTACAACTGGCTGTGACTATGATGCCCCTGGTCTGGGACTGGATCTCACTTTTGCTCCATCAGTACTGCTTACTTTTCTCCCTACTGCATGTGGAAAGGCTTGTTCCGGGAAAGCCATGTATTAGTTTGGGGAAGGAAAGGGAGTTTCATGTGCATCCTGTAGAAAAGCTTGTTCTGTGAAAGCCATGTATCATTTTGGGGAGGAAAGGGGAGTTTCGTGTGCATCCTGGTATTTAACCCATGTGACAGACCCAGGCATTAAAGCAGTAACCTTCTGTTACTGTCTTAAGCTGTTCTTCATATGAGATGCTGTAATACGTGTTTGAAAGCCCTATTACATTTAAATTGCTTTTAGAGTAAATCTGTGGGGAATTTACCTTTTCCTTTATCAGCATAACATAGCAACCACTTAAGAAAGCAAACCTAACAGTGTTGAAGGCTTGAGGCTCATGTCATTGGTGCCCACAGCCCTCAGGGATTGCGGTAAAGGACACCTTACTTGCTGGTGCTCTTTTCTATTTCTGGGACTGGAGAGATACAGTGGCTGAAGAATACAAAGACATTTAAACAGCTGATGCTAGTTTAGGTGCCTGGAGCCAGTTACAGTTACAAAGGGGATCATTTACATTTTTCAAAGTCCTTGAATAGCCATAGCTATTAGTGAGCCATAGCTCACTCTGGTAGGCACTGAAAAGCCTTTATTTCCATGGCTGGTCCCAGAGAATACCTGGGGGGTTAGTAATGCTGACTACAGCAGAAGGGGTGAAGAGGAATCTTTTTTATATTAACTCTCCACACAGGAACCCATTCTCTGCAACATGCTTTCAGCTTTGACTCATCTCAAAATGTTTCTGGATTATTTTTCCAGCTAGGCAAATCACACCCGTGCCATCACCGCATTGAGCAGCTGGCCCGTGGCAGGATGACTAAAGGACTCGAACCAGTCTTGCCAGAAAAGCTCAATAGTTCTTGGAAAATCATTGTCTGGCTGGTCTACACATGCACAGCATTGTGAACAAGGTGTTTTACAACAGTGCCCAAACACCTCAGGTGCCACCAAAGAAATAAATTACTTTTTTCTCTCTTTTTTTAAACCTGATGACCCATGATGTGATGCAGAAAGTCCACAGCCTTCCCTATCTAGACTTGCCACGAGACAGGCTCTCACTTCTCTACTCTCACTAGAGTTTCTGCAGTTTAGGTATATCTAAAATATTTTCCACCTTCTAGCAAGCATTTTTGATAAATGACAGAGAAGGGATTAGGGTTTTTGTATTTCTGTCATAGCTGTTTCTTTTCATATGCTTGATGCAATATATGTGTGTGTGCATCGCATAGTAGTTTTGGAGATTAAGCTTACAATTCAGGATTAGTTTCTTACCTAAAGAAAAATAATGAGGATATTCCACTAGTTGTTTGGGGTTTTTTAAACATATCCAGATAAGCAGTCCCAGTAGGAAATTATTTGACAAGTCACTTGAATTTTTGGTGATTAGAGGATAAAGATCACTTGTGCACAATCTTATATAAAACTTTATGTTCTGTGAATCACTTCATATGGCTTTAAAGAAAAATAAAAAATCCCAAACTTTATTTAACATGCAAAATTAGGTCATTGGCTAAGAATTACTGAGAAGCAAACAGGAAAAGTCTTGTAGAAAAGTAACCCTTTCCTAGGATTCCTGTAGTGTCTTCTGACAATTAGGGGATGACAGTTCGAACGCCTAAAAATTACCATCAAAAGTCTTCAGTAAACACAACTTTACATCATGGATGGTTTTCACCTACAGACTCTTATCTGTTTGTGTTCTTTAAAGCAATGTCAGGGTCAGAGATGGAGATTCATAGATGAGTTGTAGTATTACATCAAACAGAAACATATACATTACATTCACTTCATTGATGTCCCATGGCCTATACAAAATCATTGCCTGTTGATTGATACTGCCCTAAGTTATCATAATCTGTTCTTAAATATGCTCATTATATTTGTATAAATGAAATATGAAGGGACTGATTTTTACAGGTCTACCTTTTGTGCAGAACATTGGTTCACGAAGTCTGCTTTGGCAGAGTTTTAGGTCTCCTCAGTTTGATTGTACAAAAGACAGCAAAGGAAAAAAGGCTGGGCCATTACTTAGAGTTGACCTGCAATCATAAAGAAACAAAACAAAAGCCCCTTCAATTTTTATTTTTTTTTTTAATATATGGGGTCTTTTATTTATCTTTTGTTTATTTTACTGGGTTAACTGAAAAAATCCAGCTTCTAAAAGGCTGCAAATTGTTAGGAATTGCCTGGCCTGACAGTAAGGAAAAACATGCCAAAGGCCCGAAAACATGATGTTGCTTTGGAAAAATGAGATTCTTCTGAAACTAATGGAAGTTTTGTGAAGTAGACTGTCAGACACGGACTCTCTTCTTGCATTAAGTGTCCTTCTGTATCTAGTTACTTAAAAATGCTGGTGATGTGTTAAAAAATCCTTTTTAAAAACACTTCATGTGTATTGCTAAAAGCTATTCCCTCTCAGTTCATGTCCTATTTTTTTTTTTTTAAAGACAGAGAAACTGCAGGCAGGAAAATAGCAGTCACTCTGGAGGACAGTCATTTCAGGGGCAAGTAGCTTATGTTAAGCAGTCAGTAGTAGAATGATCCTCAATTCTGTTCATACAAAGCTATCTAAACAGAGCAGAGATATACATAGATAAGTGAATGAATACATGCATACACATATACAAATGCATATGAGCTCATTTGGTCTTTGTCATTTTACAACTGGGTCGGTCTACTTTTCATTTGTAATTTTTTTTTCATGTTTCTCCACGAAAGGGACTTTGTTTTGCATTGTTTTCCTTTTCTCTTTGAGGGAGGAAAGAAGACATATTTCTGTATATTTTTCACTTCACAGTGAATGGTAAAGTAATTGTGACTTTCCAAGATAGATGTACAAGAAAAACTTAGAAATGAAAGGGGAAAAGAGCATCAGAGCTTGAAAAATTTAATTGGGACGTTCTGCAGAAATTGTCATGCTCTAGGTTTTCAGCCAAAATTTGCTGTTAGTCCATGGAAGCCCACAGAATTCTATTAAGGACTGTAAAATTGGTTTTGTTAAAAATGCTAGAGAGTTTTAAGGGCTGCCAACCTTTGTGTATCCAGATAGATATTCCCTAAAACAACCTGAATTAAAAAAAAAACAACTTTTGGCATCAATACTGTAAAAAGAAGAGTAAATAATAGAATGTTAAAACAATACTTTGCAGTTCCACTTCACTTTCTATCACTCAGATGATGTATTTACAAAAGAGGAGAACTAAATGCAAAATAACCAACCAAAACCCATGCTACATTACATGACTTGACAGTGAAATTTGCTATTTCCAGCTCAGTACATACTGCAAATACCAGGATAAAATAATCTATTCAGCACAGTGAAGTTTGAATACTTTTGTTTTTCTTGTAATGACAACCTCTGCGTGCAAAGGAGAAAAGGAAAGATTATTTTTTCTCCCCAGGTGATATATGAGGAGGTGGAGAGGGGAACAGGACAGACAGAAAAATAGATATCTCATTTATTTCTGGACTGTTTGACAAACACTGGATTCCCTCAAGTGCATGTCTGGAGGACTGATGCTCCTCTCGCCCCAGCAGCAGGCAGGGGAGATCCTTCCAGCCCCGGCTGCACGGCCCATCTCGGTGGGTGACGCGGGGACTCCTACGTGCATGTGTGCAGCGGCTGCAGGACCCTGATGGCTTTATCACCCTTGGGGCCTCCTCTTTGGTATGTCACCGTACTCCTAACCTGGGCCACATGACGAAAATAAACAAGGGTTTGTTGCATTTGTTGCTGTGGAAATACAAAGTTAGTTGCTTTAGTTCCAATGGGATTTCCCTCTCTCCCTTCCTCTCCCCCTTTTTTAAAAAACGTTTACATTTTTATAAAACGTCAAGAACAGGAGACGTTTGCGACAGGCAAAAGGGGAGGGGTACCCTCCACTCCATCCGTTCCCCCTCCACCCCCGCCACATTTTTCTTCGTTAACTGTACGAGGGCAGAGAGGTGGGGGTGAGGGAATAAAAGCATTCCTGCATGTCTGGGGGAAAGAAAAAAGATAAAGGGGGAAAGTGAAAGGGGAGGGGAAGAGCGGGCAGGGACGAGAAGCGCCAGCGAAATGATGCTTCTCCAGCCCTCCCGCTCAGATAATAGTTAACTCGGGGTTAAAGATTAATAGCCGGGCAAAGAACCGTATAAATGGCCCGGGCGAGCCCAGCGTGTGCGCGCTGCCTCCCGCTGCCCCGCCGGCCCCAAGGCCTCTCTCCCCGCCGCCCCCTGGCCGGCGACATGAGGCGCCCGCGGTGCCTGCTGCCGCGCTGCTGGCTGCCCGCCCTGCTGCCCTCCCTGCTGCTGCCGGCGCTCCTGGGCCCCCGCCTCGCCGCCGGGGTGGCCCTGCAGCCCGTC